ATTGTTGGAAAGACTAACAAAGTTCTGGTCTGAGATGCAGTGAATTTCATAGACATTATAACCTTTGATGCCTTAAGAATCAGCTCTACATCCAGCTCTGTTACCTGGCGGACATGTCGTTCTCTGGAAGCAGCGGGATCTCCAGGACTTTGGTGCAACCCATAATTTTCTCCTGGCAGCTGGTGGTGACCATCTTCCCCGTCACCCGGTGGACCTGGTAGAAGGAATGAGGGCGAAGGTAGCGGTCGTCGGAGGTGCCGATGAACAGCAGCAGGCTGACCGGCTGCTCGCTGTATCCCGTCAGCTGGAGACAAAGATTCAACGAAACACATCAGATCAACCGTTGCTCCTCCTGACAGACGACGGCTGTGTTAGATGTGTAGAAACTGGCGAACTACTGAGGAGCTCATGTCTTATTAACAACAAAACTGTGATGCATGTTGTGATGTTCTTAGGCATTTTATTTGCAATGAAATTCTGTGTGAAAGTTTTACAAACTGAAGTGAGAATAACATCGACTCTTTGAAGGGTCAATGTGTGATGTTGGTGTCGCACACGTCTGCATCTTCAACACTAGAAACCAGGAAGTGAGTTTGGTGACTTATGACTCAACTGTTTGTGCAGGAAACTACAGATTGGTTGAAGACTGTGCAGAATTCACAGCTTCCAGGAGGAACTTCAGATCAGAAAATAATTCCCCCGTAAGCCGGGATGTGGCTCGCACACTGATGACGATCTTATGCCTGTAACTAACTTCAGTAAAACTAATTCTGATGACACCTTGTTAACCACCAGGACCCTGCGTACCTGCGTCATTAATAAGGAAAGATATACTTCTAACATTTATTTGCTCTATAAAAAAGCTCCCTGATAAATTCAATAAAGTTCATATTCAATAAATATTGGTTTGTACAATGAAGTAAATAATAATAAGTTATGAAAACTGACAAACAAATAGATTAAACATAAATGAATAAATAATAAAACACATAAAAATAAAGAAATAAAACCAAACAAATGTATAAAAGTATTTAGTTTCTAAAATAAAAGTTAAATAAAAGCATGATGGCAGGTTTGATCCGGGACGATATGGTAAAAACATCGATTAGTAGGAAGGATCATTTTTACATCACAAATTTAATTTCCACTGAAAAAAATATTAAAAACACGATGACGTGACATTTGTTGGAGTCTGTACTAAACAAACTTAACTTCTTAAATCTGGAGGAGATTCGTAGGCAGCGCTACAGAACAGCTTCTTGTGATTTGCATATTGCACTTTTATATTAATTCTAGTTTGCGTGTTGCTGTTCTGTGGATTTCACAAACAAACAGCTTCAGTTTCCTGTGTGACACAGCAGCACTGTGAGTTTTTACACATCTTGCAGCAGGAAGCTGGTCCGGGTTCAGCAGAATGCGACACCCAGAATAGCCCCGCTGGTGTCCGTTACACGCGAGGCCTTGACGGAGCTTTACTCGCCTCAGCCGGCCTCTGTCCTCTGATCCAGGAGGATCCACGTGGCTGTTCGCCCACAACATCAGCCGACACATCGCTCAGTGGCTCTTCACCTCTCTGTTCTGATAACAGATTTCAGAGAGTCCAATAGTCTAAACCCAAAACCCTGTTGTATCTACAATGATAGAAACAGAAAGACGTGGAAAATCCTCACCTGGAATATTTTCTTAACAAATTCATTGATTCAAAATCGCTGTCAGATAATTTTCTGTCAATAAATTCAACATTATCTGATAAATAAATAATGAAGACATAGCTTCCTCATTACAGTTTGACCAAGATTTGACAGGAGACATAATACAAAGTTTAAAGATAACAAGCACCTTTATTGATCCCCGAAATTCAAATAGTTAGTTAAGATGTTGATTATATTGTGTATTGATTCTGATGATGCTGAGCTACTTTAAAGAATATTAGACAGAAAACGGCAACATATGTTGGACGTGAAACTAATGTGTTAAAGCACCAAAGTCAGTCTGGCTTTGTAGAGAGCAGAGATGAAAACAATGGCTCCAGTCAGGACGGGCTGTATGACGGCAAAGTAAAGCCATTTCTTCTGCCGTTTTTCAGTCACTTTCTGGCATTTTTCCCTCTTATGAACAACGTTTGGTACCCTCTGGACACCCCATCAATATTTCTCTACATCCGCCCCTGTTCGTACCACAGGAACGTCATGTGCAAACAAGCTCTAACCGTCTGTATCAGAACATTTCCTGCATCCCAGAATGCTCCACTGACATTAAAACCCTCTTTCTCAGAGACCTGAGCACAGACGTCAGAATTAAGTTGTCAGGAAACCTTGTTTTAAAAACCAGGGTGAGTGAGTGTGTGAGTCGGTCTTACCTTGACGACAGGATGTCCTGAAGTCGCTGCCTTAATGGACCCTCTGCTGCCCTCCGTCTCATAATGCGCCCTGTGGTAGGATCTGGGCTGGACCTCCACCTTCAGCTCACACTGGTCAAACTGGCTGGGTAGAGGCCAGTCCAGAGGAGGAGGCGACGAGATACTGGAGGCAGAGACAACAGACGATCAGATATTGTACGTCACCAACCAACCAACTGTTCCTTCAGTAGTGGTTCTCTGAAGGGAGTTAAAGGGTTCCCAGCTGTCAATCATGACGTGAAACTCCTTTTTTATATCTTCAAATAACCAATTAAGCGTGATAAGAATGACCTAAAAGGATAGAATGAGCTGTACTGCAGTCAGCCTCCAGGGGGAGATAGAGAGAGTCTGGTTTGACTTTGCAGAAACTACATATTTTACGTTTAACAGGCAGATATGAAAGTAAATTCAACGTCCAGAAAGAGAAAATCTTTCCTTGAACAATGTTGAGCACATTTAAAAGCAACAACAGCTTCAGAGAAGTGAAGCCAACCTGAACAGAGGAGGGTTTCCAGGTTTGGGTTTGTTCCAGCTGAAGTGGGAGGGCACCTGAAGAAAGAGCTCGGCCAGGCCGTCCTGTTCGCGCCCCTCCTCTGTCGGGGAGTCCTGGAAGGGCTCCAGCCCGGGGTCTCCCTGTCCGGCCAGGAGGCCCAGCTGGCTCCCCGACGTCCTCCTGGTCTTGGAGGGGACGTCCAGCTCCTGGTAGCCAGACATCAGGAGGGATCCCAGCGCGCCGGCGGGGCTTCCCACCCAGGTGTCGTCCGTCACGCTGCCCCGCGGAGAGGCGCCCGGCGTGGGGCTGGGGGAGTGGTGAGGGGAGGGTGAGCGAGCGTAGGGGTCGGCACTGGAGTGGCGTCTCTTCCCGCAGGGGGAGGTCGGTCTGGATGACGGCCTGCGAAAGAAATCCGGTCGGGATTAGTGTTTTAGTGTTTAATCACATTCTCTTTATTAAATCCATATAATGATATAATATAGTTTCTCTTTTCTTGGATTATACTTATTTTCTTAAAAATAAATAATGTTTTATTTTTAGATTCTGTCTCTCAGAGAAATGTACATTCAACAAGGTAAACATTAAAGAGCTGTTAGCATGCTGACGTTAGTAAACTGTAGAAATCAATAAAATGTAAATAATGAAAAATCTAACTGGATTTTTTTTGCTGACCTCTTAAAAGCTGAATTTGATACCGTCGTTTATAAACTCCTGCCTATAAGTCTAGAGGAGGCTGCACTGAATTGGTTCCATGCTCACACTCAGTAATGGGGTGCCACAGGGCTCTACTCTTGGTCCTTCACTATTTACATTGTGTGTTAACATTATTCTTCCTAATCAGTACTTAAATATTTATTTGTTGCTCGATGGCAGATTCAAGATTCATATTCAACATGTGAAAATGAAACTGCTTGTTTTGTAAACCATAAACCAAAAATACAGTCCAGTGGTTGTCTGACCATGAATGTTTCTTTCTCTCAGGTCTTGATCTCAACGAGACTACTGCTCTGAATAAATAAAGTTACTAATTACACAATATTGTACCTGGAGGTGGGCCGTCGGTTCAGCCAGCTCTCCTCTGTAACACTGGTACGAGGGGAGTGGCAGGGCGACTGGCGTGGCGACTGGCGGGGCGACTGGCGTGGCGACTGATGAGGCGACAGCGCCGGGCTGAAGGCTGAAGGATGCTGGTACATCTGCTGCCACAGCTCCACCCCAAAGGCCCCGCCCCCGCAGCCCGGGGACCCCACAGGTGATCCTAGGGGGGACCCCAGGGCGAGGCGGGCAGCATCGCGCAGCTCGCCCTCCACCTCAT